ACATGCATTTAGCTTCCTGGACATACTGATTTAGAAAAACTATTTTTTAAGTTTGCTAAATATAGTAAAGTGGTATACAGTGGTACCTCGTGTTAAGTACTTAATTCGTTCCAGAGGTCTGTTCTTAACCTGAAACTGTTCTTAACCTGAAGCACCACTTTAGCTAATGGGGCCTCCTGCTGCTGCTGCACCACCGGAGCACGATTTCTGTTCTCATCCTGAAGCAAAGTTCTTAACCTGAAGCACTATTTCTGGGTTAGCGGAGTGTGTAACCTGAAGCGTATGTAACCTGAAGCGTACGTAACCCGAGGTACCACTGTACACTTGTCATGCCTTTTCAATCAACCAGTGTAGCATTTGCAAGCGCATAACTTAACTGATATACACAAATGAATGTTACATATTTACAGTAAAAGAAGGGTGATGGGTGACAGGAGCAGATTACTGTACCCACCACCAGTCTTACTGCAAAGGAAAGCCACCACATGGCTGTGTAATGGACTAAATTTAAGACAAACTAAAAAGGACTTCTGAAGGAGCAAGTGCTGAGGAAATCTGTTCTGTTTTAGGATATGCAGTAATACCTCCACGAACATCCGCCTAGTCTAGCGTCCATTCCGGCGAACATCCATGGCAAACCCGGAAGTACCGGAATGGGTTACTTCTGGGTTTGCAGCTCGCAGAAGCATTAAACTGTGCATGCACAGAAGCGCAAACCACTCCGCACGTGCGTGCAGACGCGGCGCTTTGCCCTGCGTCCTTTTTGGCTAGTGGCCGGGGCTCCAGAACAGATCCCGGCCACAAAACAAGGTACGACTGTACTGCACACAGAAAAATCAAACAATTCATAGAATTCATGGCCACAAGGGATTAACAATATCCTTTGAAATGATCTAAAAATTGTAGACCTGATAAAAATCACATGACCTTCCTACCTTAAATGCCAAGCATCTGGCTGAGCAAGAGTCAATCTCCCACCCTTTTTGAGGAATAATTAGAAAATTTACTAAGTAGGAGGTTTCACTGTAAAGGAATGGAAGTGTCAATTGAAACAAATGACAAAGCAGATAGGATTACTAGGACAGCACATCTGCCCGTAGGAATGCTGTTCCACCACCTAGGGCTAATACAGTTCCATTCCAATACACACATTTCTTGTGTATCACTCCAGACTCAGATAAGCGGATGGGCTTGGCTGAGTATTCATACTTGGTGATCTGCAATGCAACATAATTAACCAGTTTCTGGCTTATGCAGCCTTTGCAAGTTTCATCAACACTGAATTTGCATGGTATGACAAATTATTTCCTCAATTATTTGCTCAAAAGTCACAGATTGGCTCTGTGGCAGAGCAGGGAACTGAGCCCAGATCTTCACAGTATGGAGACAGTGACATATGAAATGGGCCAGTCTCTCTAAATTGAGCTGTAGCAGAGCTTTGTATGTGTGAATTGGTGGAAAACCAATTGCCCATGCAGCCTGATATCTCGGGACATTTGTTCTGACTATCGCTCTATCCAGCTGCATGATCTGCAGCCCGTGGCAGATTTCACCCCCACACTCCTTTGTCACATTCCAGCCCTCCACTTCTGACAGGGCAGCTACTACACTGGCCTCGGTATCCTTAGCGCTGGGAGCTCAGCTCCTCTGCATATGCTGTCTGTCTTGTGAACACGGCTGGCATTTTTAATTTAGTCAATTTTCAGCTCTGCTTGTTCCTGTGAGATGTGTGTCAGGGCTGTTTTCCCTTTTAATACGTGAACACATTGAGCCGTTCTGATTTATCATAAGAATGTGACTCTCTCTGCCTGTCTTGTTAGAGGAGATACAGAGGAATTAAATTTCTGTGTTTTTTGTTTTTTGTTTGCTTTGTCTTCCGCTCAGCTGATTTCTGTGGGCTGGATTCTAGGCTTTACTTGCTTACCTGATAATGAATCAAGGTGTTTAGCCGCTTCCAGTCACCCTCAATCTTGGTGGTGATATCTTCATCCTGAAGGACCACACGTGCTATTCGGCCTTGCCGCCACTCTGCAGGAGAAGGAAGACAATGTTAGACAATCAAGGACAGAGGCACAGTCATCTCATTGGTAGGATGGTTCTCTGCAATGATGAACCTCCAAGAAAGGAAGAATGGGTTAAATTAGTCTTCTATTGATTCCAGTGTAAGTGCTGTTCCCATCCCATTTCCATAAGTAGCTCTTTCCCAAACCAAGTATGTTCCTACCCAAGTCCATGTCAACAGCTCGTGGCCTTTGTGAGTATGGGACATTTTTATACACTGCATCCAGAATCTTCTCTTTGACCTGAGTGATGGTGTCACAGTTCAACACTTTCACAGGAATCTCAGGACTGTTCTCATTGTCCGGATTCACACAGTTCAAGATCTAGAGAAGAGAAAAGAATGGGAATATTAAGATGAACTCAGAAAAGCTAAGAAGAAATCATCTGCATATTACAGGAATTCTCAACCTAAGTTGGAGGTATAAAAATGCCTGTTCACAATTAAGTCCTATTTAGACAGGGAAGCTAAATTGATAAAAAAAAAGATTTTCAATTTCATAGAAAGCATGTGGAGACCTATATCTGTAAGTATGCAGAGATGTAGTCTACATAATTAGACAATTGCGTACATACAATTACTGTAGCTCTCTCTGTCCCTTGGGAAGGTGGATAAAATTTATGCATGGATGATGCCCACGGGTGATGTACATAATGCTTTGGAAAGCCTGGTTCATCCCTTCAGATTACAGATGGATGGCTTGCTCTTTGTCCAATTTAAGCGTGTTTTATTTTTAGACACTAACAGATTAACTCTGTCCTGTTTTTGCAGTTTAATGTGCAGGTTTTTGGTTTTTTTTTAACACAAATCTACACAGATGTAGTTAAAAACAGGAACTAATGAGGTGGTCTAGAGCAGGGGTGCCCAAACATTTTTCAAAGAGGGCCAGTTTTGATCAAGTGAACATGCATGAGGGCCGACTGAAGTTGCTGAGTTTTTTAAAGGATTTTACCCCAGGACATGGGGCCCGGATTAAATCAACCGGTGGGCCATATTAGGCCCCTGAAATGGACTTTGGACATGCCTGGTCTAGGGGCTTTACAATCTTTCCCCTCTTTTCTCCAACAGGACCTAGCCACCTGGAACTGCTAGGAAGTGTGACTGGCTCCACACAGGCAGCAAACAAGGTGGCAAATGCCTCCTGGCAATATTGGTGTTGGGATATGATGCCCTGCCTAGGGATATTGTCTGAGGAAAAATGTGATTGTCACCTTGAACCCATGGTATTCACTATGCCCCCCCCATACTTTTGTCCAATGTCCTTCCCAGGGACAATGTATACATTGGTCCAAGAGTTTTGTACAGGTGAGTCCACACTGGGATGTGATTCCCCCCTCCCATATTCCTTCCCCATTTGTAATTCAACTGTACATATACGATACGATACTATATGATACGATACGATACGATACTATACTATACACTATACTATACTACACTATACTATACTATACTATACCACAGGGTGAGTCCTTTAAAAGAGGCCCCGTGGATACAGAGTACACATATTCCATGGGGCCTCTTTTAAAAGACTCACCTGTATCATGGAACATCAGCCACAATTCTGAAAATGAGGGTTAGAACTAGCTGAGATGGCTAACTGCCTATTTCCACCCTATATGGAATCTTCAGGCATTTTCACTACCATTAAAAACAATGGGCTGGCTTAAAAGTAAAAGTATTAGGTTTGTATTACTATTCACTAAGGTGCCTGGGCTTCACATCTTTTCTCAGGAAGCTTCTCTGCTTGGATATGGACCCAGAGTTTCCACAATAAGAATCACCATGAAAACATTCTATTATATAAAGCACTTTGGACAGGAAAAAATTGCCACCTAACTTCCCCATTCAATCTATGTCCAGCCCTGGGGATTATGTTCCCCATGATGGCTGATGGCTGGTGCAACCAAAAATTGTTCAGAGAAGGCACCCACTCACTAGAGTTTTGTACTCAATCTGCTGCCGGATCAGCTTGTCCTCACTCAGGGAATAACGTGCCTCCCCCGTAATGGCATCTATTGGGCCTTTCTCCATCTGTTGCTTGATGGCACAGTACAACATGAAGAGTGGCTCTCCAGCACATTCCTGTTTGACACAGAACACAAGAGAACTTGCACACTGATAAAGATAGAACTTGTCAAAGGCAGAGAAACCATGGCAAACAAGTATAATTTAAAAGCAGCTACACAACCCTCCTGATTTATAAATTCATTGAGCTTCACAAGCAATGTTGGCTGATTTGAGTTTGCATGGTTTTGGTTTCTAAAGATTACAGGATGTGTTGCAAAAATATGTAACCAGAAAGGATGTGTCCTTGTTTTATGCACCATTTAGTAAGGAAAAAGCAAACATTGGCTTTTACACCTAACATCTATACTGGTCAGTTTCATTATAGGTGTTATATGATGTCAAGTGACTGACAATGGGGTGATCCTGCCCATCTGTCAAAATGACCTGTGGAGGGTTGGCCACATTTGGAGCCAAGACTCCGGCTAGATCCAATTCCCTGTCCTAGAGGTAAGTTCATAATATTGCTCAATTTACTGGGGATGTACCTCACTAAATAGTGTTCAAAACATGTGTGCTTTCAATTTGGTCAGCAGCATTAATAGTAAAGCAATAAAATAAAGCATTAAATATGAAACATTCACAACTAAAGTATCTAAATAAACCAGAAATTCAAGAAAAAGAAGCCACATAATATCTCCCTTGTTACATTCAATCAGCTACAAAGACACTTTTCTTTTTATGTTATTACAAAAATTCACCCACTCCTCTCTGATCCCTTGGCTAAAACTCTGATTCATTCTGTAGCAATCTCCAGCCTTGACTACTGCAACGTTTTCATCTCTGGCTCCCCCCTTTTATACCTAAGTTTTCTCACATTGCTCCAAAACTGCTGCCAAAATTATTATTCTGTCTAAACCCACATGATGCGGAAGCTCAGGAAAGCTCAGTCAGTAAAGCATGAGACTCTTAATCTCAAGGTCGTTGGTTCAAGCCCCACGTTGGGCAAAATCTTCCTGCATCACAGGGGGTTGGATTAGATGACCCTCCTGGTCCTTTCCAACTCTATAATTCTGCAATTCCATGACACCACTCTTTAAATCCATCCACTAGATGTGCAACTGCATTTGCCCATATTCAACCCTTTGTATTATTGCCTCCCCCCACCCCACTTTATTTTCAATTGTAAGCTCCTGAAGAGCAGGGATCTTACTATTTTTACCTATAGGACTCTGGAAGTCATCAAGTATATAGATGGTGCTGTGTAAACAATAATTACGATCAGTGCTATTTTTCTAGTAAAAGAGGTGCTGGAGCTCACCAAGAACTTCTCCCTTGTTCTCTTAGAATGGCAATGGCACCCATCTGAGAGGTGCCAGAACTGAGCTCCAGTGAGCTTCGGCTGGGAAAAAAGCCCTGATCACAATCATCAAATGTATAAAAAGGGGAATAACTGTCTATTGGACTTCATTATAAAACACCACAAGATCAAACAGGCGCCAACAGGTCTTTGTAGCCATCTGAAGTAGCCATAAACTGTATTCAATGTCTAAAATAAAATATGAATATCCAGCTCTTGATAATGCATTGGATACAGTATAGGAGAATGGGGAACTGAACTGCATTGGCTTGAGACCAGTAGAGTATTTCTTCTTCCTACCCTTTTCTCTTTTAATCTGTTGTATCTGTGCCTTGATTTCCCTCTGTTGAGTACACATGTGTGACATTTCAGATTTGTAATGTAATCTAGAAAGTCATGTGCTAAGGGAACCAGTATAGAACACACCTGTACTACAATCTTAAATTATCCTGACTTCCCCCATGTGAGTCTAGGGAAAGTGCTGAGAATTACCGTATTTTTTGCTCTATAAGACGCACCAGACCACAAGACGCACTTAGTTTTTGGAGGAGGAAAACAAGAAAAAAAATATTCTGAATCTCAGAAGCCAGAACAGCAAGAGGGATCGCTGCGCAGTGAAAGCAGCAATCCCTCTTGCTGTTCTGGCTTCTGGGATAGCTGTGCAGCCTGCATTCGCTCCATAAGACGCACACACATTTCCCCTTACTTTCTAGGAGGGAAAAAGTGAGTCTTATAGAGCAAAAAATACGGTATTTTGCAGAATTATGGCCTTTTCAAATAGTAACAGTTCCCAGAATGCATAGCAGAGTGTAGTGAGGGCAAAAACCCATCCACAGATTAGAGAACCAAAGATGCATTTGTACACAGGAGTGGGCGGTCTCTACACTTTCCTCCTATTACTCCCTGCCTCTGGGTTTAACTTCCTCCAGCCACTTGAAGAGTTAATTCAAAGCTTACATGCAGATTAGACAATGTCTGGTCTTTACTGAGCTTTTGATCTGATTTGTGATACAACAATGAGAATTCATCCTGATTTGCTTATGTGGTGATTTTACACCTTCCTATTAATTATTTGTCCATCCCACACTTCTAGCACATTTCCCCATTACTTTCCTAACTGCATAAAGTCTGTTTTTTGTGTGTGCTAGGGTTACAAAGCACTTTAATCCACTTTAATTATGGAAACCTACATTTCTGGCATGAGTTTGCATCCTTACTGCAAAATACTGATGCTCTGGAGGTGACCACAGAAAACAAGAACTTGAAAAGAACATAACAAAGGAAATAGATTCAGGGTAGAAGCAGCTGACTCTTTACCTTTAGGAATTTGTGGAGAAGGAAAGCAAACCAATTAGTCAACATCTTCTCAGCCACTGACTCAGTCCTGGGAAGAGATTAGAAGGAGTTTTATGAAGCCCACATTAAAATAAAAAAATGAATAGATCATCATAATTTAATTTGTATGTTGCCTTTAGATGGCTAGAGCCATGCTGAAGGCTGCTTGAAACATGAAAAGATTTACACAATTGCAAACATAACAAAAGTAGTCATAAATAAAACACACCAAAAAGCACACAACCATAATTGAAAAATTCCAACAAGTCCCACAGAAATCATTATAAGATCAAAAAATTAAGATACAAAATATTAATATCAATAACAGCAGCAACAACCAAACCACCTAAACAATACCCTAACCCAAAAGTAAGGACTAGTGTAACTTCTCCCTCCCTCATAAATTAAGCACAGTATCTTTTTATGTGAACAGCCCTGAGACCTCCGGGTATAGGGAAGTATATAAATTCAATCAATCAATTAAAAATATATGATTGTAAAGACTCCTCCCTGTACAATCTTTTTCTTCGCAGAACCAGGTGATTAGTGCCAGGGCACCAATGCAATAGAAAAATGAAGTTAATGTAATTGTATAGCAGATTTCAAACAATGTGGCATTTCATCACACAATATAATTGTGTATCCGTCTGTATTTTTTTTATTTTTAGATTTTTTTCTGATTTTTGATGAAATAATGGACAAAAGCCACAGCAGAAGACAATACGCTAAGTAACAGAAAGCCATCTGCTGCAAGAAAAATAGTTCAAACAAAGATAAACATAAACTCCACAATGTACTCTGAGGGCAAAACTAAACGTGAACTACAGGAGGGATCTATTGCAATACTCATTGCTGCATACGCTATGTGCTAATATCTATCAAGCTGTGAACTACAATGTTTCAGTGTTCCTTTCAGTGGAACATGCAGCCTTATCTTACTACAAAGCAAGTTGGAACCCCAATTTATTGTGAGAAGGGCTGCTGCCTTGGTCACAACTAACAACTTCTGGGGTAGGGACACTCTGTTTTCCTAATACTGTCTCTGCTATGTGAGCAACAGCACCCAAAGAGTTAAATAGCCCTTTTAAGTTTGGAAGTAGGAAAATGGTTGTTGTTGTTGTTTAGTCGTTTAGTCGTGTCCGACTCTTTGTGACCCCATGGACCAGAGCATGCCAGGAAAATGGTACGCTGAGCTTTTTAAGGCCACCACACCTCTCCTGATTGCATCAGAAATGGTGCATTTTTCAAGGCTAATCTTAGAAACAGCAAGTATGCATTCATTTGTCCAAGCAGCAGATAATGTTCTTGGGGCTCACGATACAGAGAACGTGTGTCCTAATCCCTGTGGAATTCAAAGTTCTGTCATTGGGTGGCCTTTGGGTAAGACATACTCTCCCAACTTAGTTTACCTGACAAGAGTTGTTGTGAGGCTAAAACAGCCTTCCCCAACCTGTTGCGTCCTAGATATTCCACACTACGACAACTATTGGCCCAAGCCAGCACAACTGGGATGTTGTATAACCCAAAGCATCTTGTGGTCAATAGGCTGGGGAAGGCTGAACTGAAATGCCACAGGGAGCTCCTTGGTGGAAGGGTGGGAGCCAATGGAATACCTATAATAATAGTAATTGTTAGGAAATGTCAGTTTCCCGCCTTCAGGGTGTCTGAAAATGTGATTGCAATGCATTCCAGCAGAAAGTGGGGGGGGGGGGGGGTTGAAGGAACAAGAAAAAATGGCTTTAATGCCATCGTTTATGAATGCTGGAAGGTCCCACTCTTGATTTTTGATCATTTGGAATTGGAAAGTCAATCTGAAGCTTTTGTCCCTTGCTCTGCCCCTCCCACATTTTCAGCAAGAAGTAAATGCAGATTGCTCATGAACTGAAAGTAACAAAGCCCAGCTGACAGCCCATCACAGCAGCCCCTCTGAAGGGGATGCCTGGTGGAGCTGTAACTCCTCACACTTGGTGCAAATTATACCCTGTAGCTCAGTAAATCACTGGAATTTGTGGCTGGTGGCAATCAAGGACAGCAGAGTGACAATGGCAGGGGAAATTGCAGCTTTTCTCAAGGGCCACACCCAGCACTAGCTCCTCACATTGTGTCCAAGATTATCTCTAATTTAAATACAATGGTTCTTAATGATAGTTTTTAATGCTGGCACGGCAGGATTGCCGATTCCTCTTTAAAAGTGATACAGCCTCTGTTCCTGGGAAATGGGGAAGATTTTGAAAGACGCATCAATGAAAGGAGTAGGGTTCCTGTTCTCACTACGTGCTGAGCCAGGGTGTTCATAGAGCAGCTGTAGATGAGCTACTTAATTTATTACCAGCTGTGCCAGCCGAAAACATGCTGCAAATGAATCTTTTTCAAGGCAGGATGATATCCTTTATAAGTGGAACGTCTATAGACTTTCTTCCATAGGACACTGATCAGTGGCAATGTTTAACCATCTGACTTTCCCACCAGCAACGAACAGCGCTGCAATGCATCATTCAGCTGCACGTTGTCCTAAAATTATATGCTAGGGTGCATCTTTCTCAAATGACAATGAAGTATACAGTGCTTTAGTAAGAATCCGTTTTTGGCAGAGTAACTGGTCACCAGAGATCCAGTAAACACTTTTTCCTACCTTACAACTGGTACAGACATTTTTCAAATAGTTTCAGGCATGACTCTTTGCTACTTGATGAGTGAAGGTGAGATTCTAGAGATTTTTCTTTATATAGAAAAAGGAGGGGCTATTGCTCAGCAGTGTTGAATGCTGCATTCCTGTTGACATCTCTGTTTAGACAATTTCAGGTACGAGGGCTTGGAAAATATGTGACAAAGGTCACTTCAAATATTTTTCTTGACAGTGTGGTTAATCTTCCTAATTTACTAATGTTAGGGAATCTCCCATGTTGTACGGATCAAAGTTTAAATAATATCTGGTTCTGCTGTACTTATACAAGCCAACAAATTCTGGGGTATGGAAACTTATTCCTATAAGCAGAGCAGATTGCTCAAATTCTATCTGTCTCTCACTCCAAACACACACACACACACACACACAGAGAGAGAGAGAGAGAGAGAGAGAGAGAGAGAGAGAGAGCTAGAATTGGGTTTTCATAGAATACCAACTATTTTAGGAAAGAAAGTATGCTGCGGATAGAGTGGCAGAAGACAGTATAGAACTAGGAACAGAAATTCGTCTAAAGCAATCATGATTACAAACTTGCTTTTGAAAAAAATGAAAACCAAGAATCAGAGTCCACATTCTGTGTCAGATTCCATGTAAAGACCATATTGTCATATACTATATGAAATTGTA